CCAGCATATCGTCAATGTATACCTCCATGGTTTTTCCGAGCTGTCCAGCGAACATTTTGTTTACAAGCCTCTGGTAGGTAGCTCCCGCGTTTTTTAGTCCAAATGGCATTACCTTGTAGCATTAGGTCCCGCGCTCGGTTATAAATGCAGTTTTTTCTTGATCTTCAGGATTCATCATGATTTGATTATATCCCGATAAGGCATCCATAAAGGACAAGAGCTGGTGGCCAGCTGTTGCCTCAACGAGGCGGTCGATGTGAGGTAACGGGAAGCTGTCTTTGGGGCAAGCCTTGTTTAGATCGGTGAAGTCTACACAGATTCTCCACTTCCCGTTTTTCTTTTTCACTACTACGGGATTAGCTAGCCAATCGGGGTAGTGTACTTCACGGATGGACCCTGCTTTTGTGAGTCGATCTACTTCGTCGTTGACGGCTTAGGCTTTTTCGAGGCCTAGCTTACGGCGTTTTTGTTTGATCGGTTTGAAAGTAGGGTCTACATTGAGCTTGTGAGTGGTGACGTTTGGGTCTATACCTCTCATGTCGCTGGTGGTCCATGCAAACGTTTTGACGTTGCTTCTCAGGAAGTCGATTAATTCCTTTTTCATTTCGAGAGGTAGCTCTGATCCGATGTTCACTTGTTTCTCGGGATCAGAGTCGTCGATGCTAACTCGTTCGGTTAGGTTCCTAGGGGGACCTCGAATATTCTGTTGCATCTCTCGACCTTCCTGGATCTGTAATTGTTATTGAGGTGATTCCTTGAGGATTCCGAATCCTCCCAAGTAACAGATCCTGGAGATCTTCTGGCTACCTCGTACGGTGGTTATTCTGTCCGGTGTTGGGAATTTCACGCATTGGTGATAAGTGGAAGCTACTGCCTTCATCTTATGGATCCAGGGTCTTCCTAAGATCGCATGAAATGGAGAAGGCCTGTCGATGACCACAAAATTGGTCATTTTCATGATTCCCCCAGCTATGACTGGGAGCTTGATGGTTCCTAAGGAGGTAACTGTTTCCCCAGAGAAACCTACAAGGTTAGCTTTCTGACCGATAATTTCGTAGTCATCTATTTCCATCCCTTTCGGGGCGTTATAGAAGATGAGATCGACCGAGCTTCCGGTATCAACCATCATCTTAGGCACCTCGTAACCCGCTATGTTCAGGGTGACGATTAAGGCATCATCGTGAGGTCTGTCGAGGTCTGACGTCTCGCTCTCCCAGAAAGAGATCCTAGTGTTGGTTTCGGGATTGGGAGGCTTAGATTGAGCTCTAGAAACGGCCTTCCGCACATGGCTCTTGATTGAATTAACTGAGTCTTGACATATATCGGAGCCTCTGAGGATATAATCCACTCTTGAGCTAGGGCTCGACTGAGGCGGAGGTTTGCTTAGGAGGGTCTCGATTTGTAGAACCTTCCCTTGGGGAAATTTCCCAAGAATCATGTCAACTCTTTTCTTGGGAGCTGGCGGTGGCGAATCTGTTTCCTTCTCAGGTGATCTTTCACGTTTCGGAGAGGTGTCTCTGGGACCTCTTTTCTGGTAAGGAGGTGGCTTTTTTAGTTCCACATCCTTTAGTTCCCCAGCTACAAATTTAGCTGCGAACTGTCGTTGGAGGTCCCAGCACTCCTCGGTTGAGTGCCCTTTTCGGTCGTGATAAGAGCAGTGTTTGTTCTCATCGTAGCCTTTCGTCCAGGGAGTTTTGCTTGTCGCGGCAACAGGTTTTTCCTGTTGGGCTTCCTCGACAGCATATGAGTGTTCTCCCTGGGTCTGATGGTTCCGAGAGCTCCCTTTTCTAGAGGATCCTTTTGCTTCCGAGGTTTCACCTTTCGGGTGATTCTGGGATTTCTTGTGGATTTTATCCAGTGCATCTGTTTCCTCCTCCAAGGTAATGTATCTCGACGCTTTGTGAAGGGCATCATCGATAGTTGGAGGAGGGTTAAGTGTTAGCTCGGACCAGAATTCTGATTTATACCAGAGGCCTCTTCTAAGGGCTTCGATGGCTACTTGATCGTTGGGGTTCGAGAGCTTAGTTCTAACTGCTCTGAATTTCTCAATGTAGGTTCGTAGCGAATCCCCCATTCCTTGCATGATCTTCCAGAGGTCAGCCTCGGAGGCTTGCTTAAGGATATGGGTCGAGTATTGTTTCATGAAGGCGTTAGTGAGCTGGTCGAAGTTATCGATTGAGTTTGGCTCGAGGCTCGAAAACCATTCGAGAGCTGTTCCGACCAGGTTCTCAGCAAAGGTTCTGCAATAACCTGCTTCGCATTCTTCTCTTGTGAAATGAGCTTTCACTATAGCTAAGCGGAAGGCTCTCAAATGAGCCTTGGGGTCTGAGGTCCCGTCATATTCAGGAATCCTAATTTTTCGGGTATCCCTTATGTAAGAGCTAGCGATTTTATCTGTGAATGGGGTTCCACGGGTTTCCTCAATTAAGCTCTCGATTTCGGGAGCTGAGCTCGTTGCTTTATGCACTTGAGCATTCAGCTTCTGGAGAGCTGCGTGAGTTTGCTCCATGTATCGGCAAATAGCCTCAGGTCATTCTAGGGGAAGGACAGTTGGGTCTTCGCGAGGAATCTGATGAGAGGATTCTTGATGGAGTCGAGTGTAATCGTTATCCCAAGCGTTAGGTGGGCTACATCGCTCGTTAGCTCTAGAGCCACCTTGAGGGTCGCGACCTGGGGGGTGAGCTGTAGGGTCAGCTTCCGCCCTCGGGTTGTCTCGGTTAGGGGTCGCGCTTCCATTTTGGTAAGCTGAAGTTGGTGCTCTACCCCTAGGAGGGGGAGACACTCCTTCTCCGGACCTAAAAATAGGTGGCGGAGGCGGCAATCGTGTGCTGTGTTCGTGAACCCTATTGGGTGCAGCCGTGCAGAGCTGGTCGTCGCTATGTTACTTCCCATAGCGCTAGTTATAGGTGGACTAAATACTGGGATTGTCCCAGTATGGGGTGTCCGGAGAACAGGCTCTTGCCCATTATGAGCAATGCTGTTGGGGGAAAAGTCCAGGCGTCCGCGAGGAAACGTGGGTTCGGTGAGTCGATCTCGGAAGGCGATTACTGAGCCTTGACGTTGCGACGGATGAGTTGTCTCGGTTAGAGATCTAGTCACCTCTTCGAACCGTTGTTGCAGGGCAGTTAGCTGTTGCAACGTACGCTCATTATCCTGAGCTCTTTTTACCAACTGCACCATCATTCGGCGCATTTCGGATAGCTGAGCTTCCGAGTGATGCGGAGCGTGTTGATGTTGGGGGTTTTCAGGGAGCGTAACCCCGGTGTTGTTTCCACTGGAATACCTTGGGTTAGCTGTCCCAGGTCGGTTTGGTTGAGCATTAGCCGGAGGCTGTTGCTCGGATCGGTGATCGGCGGATCGAGGTTCCGGATCTTGAGGATCCGGGTCTCTCCTGTTCGGTGAGCCGTCGATCTGGATCACGGGATCCGGGATGGATGGGCTCGTTGCCTGGTTGGATGGATCCATTCTCAAGTTACGGAGTGAAGGATTCAATTATCTCGTCCCCACAGACGGCGCCAAAATGTGAGGGATAAAACAGGTAGTGATTTTATTTGGTTCTTCTTTAGGGGATAAATTCCTAATAGGCTTATAACGGTCCGTGACCTGTTTTTGTTAATGATTCAATTATCCGTGACATGTTTTTGTTAATGATTTTTCCATTCGACAAACAGGTAGCGATTTTATTTGGTTCTTCTTTAGGGGATAAATTCCTAATAGGCTTATAACGGTCCGTTAATGGCTTTAACTATTTGAGCCCATTAATTCAGCTAACGGGCTAAATTCGGGCCCAACATTAACCTTAAAAACCAATCAGTTACATGATCGCACTTAGATTAAGCTAGTACTTGCATTCTCGGTGCTTTTAAATCCCTCAGAACTGGTTCGACAATCATCTATACTACAATATTTGTCTTAGGAGCCTTGAAAACTCCTAATATCATGCCTCAGCAGAAAGAAGTTTTCAAAGTAAAAGCTCATCAAATCTTATCTACGGTCGAGTATGTCACAAGAAATATTTTAATGGATTGTCAATGTTGTTGATCGAAAGAGATATGGATAAAAAGTTTGATTATACAAATTTGAGGAATGAGTTTGCGTGAAAAAATGTAAGAATAATCCGTTTTCAACAAAAAAAATAATGATCTTTCATGTTTTAAAATATTTTTTGAAAAATACTTATTTATTTAAAAACAGTTAATATGAAAATCTATATGTAATTCTTTTTTTGCTTGTACCAAAACGTCAGCGACGCTATGATTGAAAAGGAGGTTTAATACAGATTTTTTTATTAATGGTTTATGAGGTTTGTGTTTTTTAGAGAGAGATATATGGCTAAAATATATAAAATGTTTGGGAAGACATTAACAATGCATGATAAATGTGATATAAAATAATCAAATATAATGAAAAAAGTAAGAGAAGTTGAGGAAATGATTAATACTAATAAATTGCATAATAGATCTTGGAGAAGATGTTTGATAAGCTAACGTGATAATTTCATATGTAACTAGGGTAAACCCGTCTTACAGGCGGACAAATAAATAAACTATTAATACAAATTTGTTTTAAATGTTTGATTTATTTTAACCAAAAATAGCATTGATATTTACAAATTTCGTACAACAATTTAACCATTCATTTCCCTATACATTTAAAAGATAATTATTTCTTCCATTTTTCTTTCTAGTTTAACTATAAAAATATGTCAGATAAATTTTCTTAACTAAGAAAAGTTAAGATTAATCTCTTAAATAAGAGATTTAAAAGAAACCTATTTTAGCCGAAAAGTGTAAAAAAATGATCAAATAATGAGTTAATAATTCCAAATAAGAGACTGGAGTTAATTATAAAATAATAAAATGTTGCATTATAATAATGAAAGGATTTATTGATATATAGATAAGTTTTATAATAAAGCCGTTGACAACATTGTTTTATAATAAGCTCATTTATGTTATTAGGCCCATGAATATATTTTAGTTTACAACTCTGCTAGGTTTTTGAACTCAGGCATTCTATCTTCTCGACACGGTTTTTTTTCTTGCAGCAAGGAAAAAAAGATCTGAATTTCGATGGCATAGGAGAAAGTTTGAAGCTCAACAATGGCATTGGAGTTCAATGATTTTGGGCGTCCGTTAATTATACTGATGAGGAGGATCAAAAGACTGGTGATAGAGGCATTGATGCCCAGAAAGCCACTATTTTTTTCTGGCAAAGCGGTTGTGTGGTTCCTGTGTTCCTCTCCCCCACCAAAAAGAATGGCCAAGATGCTTCTAGGACCTAACGGAGACGTCAATATCAGTTCGTTTCTTACCTTTTTGATTTCATATCTGTTTTTGAATTTTAGTTTCAAGCTTGTATTCAATAAAAATTAAAAGCATGTTTAGTAAATAGACAAACATAATTCGTTAAAGGGTCTCCGCTTCTCTGAATCCTATCTTTTAGAGAGAAAGCTATCTCTTCTTTGTTATTTTGATCTTAGTGGAATCTTGCTTCTGTTTTGACTGATTCTGACTTCGGCATATATTGATTTTTTCTCTTTCAATGTTATCTGGATCGTTTCTTATGTTTAGTGTATCAGCTTTCTTTTTTCTTTTTTGATGTAAATGTTAAGATAAATCAACTTTCTTGTTCTCTTGTCTTCTCCTTCATCTCTGCTTTTCAATCTCATTCCATCAATTGATTGAATCTTTCTGTGTTTTGCTTGAGTTTTCTTTTTTTGAGTCCTTAAATCTATGCTTTCTTTATTAGACCTAGGAGATAGGATTAAGCAAAGTTGCTCTGATTTTAGAGTTGCTCAATAACTGATTGTTTTAGTGCAGACCAGCTGCTAAATCATTTGAATTTTATAGAAGATTGAGTCATTTTCAATGAAGTGATGAAAGTTCACTAAATCTCGATGGCCATTTCAGAGAATGGTAAAGAAGATCACTCTAATCGTACTCGGAGCAAGCAGCAAACTGAAGTTTATACCAAATGTTACTGAAATTTACCTAAAGTGGAGCTTTGCACAGTGGTTGTGGTGTCTAGAATCAGATTTGACCAAACAGATTTCCGGTGATGAACTGCGAAGGCGTGATGGAGTGACCGAGATTCCGATAAAGTGCTTTGTGGAGACGAATCATTTTCGTCTCATCTCTAGAGCTTCCATATACCTACACTTGTTGTATTTTCACTTGTACTTATATTTATTGGCATTTAGAATGTATTGGGCTTAGATTATCATTTGTAATGGACTTTTAGCCTTAGCAACAAATTATTAGATTAAAAGGCATATAAAAAATCGATGTTGATGTGTCATCCTCTCCTTACAGTATTTGATGATGTGGTAGTCTAAAAAGAGGGAAAACCCTTCTTTATATATGTACTAGGGTTGGCCCGCCTTACGGGCGGGAAGTTGAAAAAAAATTTATATTAATTTATATTATTTTAAAAGTTTTTTTAAAATAATAAAGTGGAAATGATATTATAAACATATAAATAATGAATAGAACTTTGAAATCATATTATTATTTTTAATATGCATATTTGGTTTGAATTATAAAGTGATAGTACTCTTCATTATTATTTGTTTTCCCGAGAATAAAAAGTTAGGAAAAATAATTTAGAAAATGTAATAATATATATATATATATATATATATATATATATATATATATATATATATATATATATATATATATATATTGATTGTTTTATTTCATTTTGCATTATGTCCCTAGCTCAGACTGTGCAAATATATATTTATTTATTTTGATATATGATTTGAATTTATGGTTATATTGTTATGAAATTCATGATGTAAATTTTTTTTTACAAAAATCACATTTATTTGAATATGAAACTTAATATTTTGTTTATATCATGAAAAGGAATATGCGGGATCTTGACTGTAAGGAGCAAGTCCGGGTCGATTGCTTTCATCCTCTATTGCTTCTTTTGAAGGTTACGTGCCTGCTGTTGAAAGCCTGAAATTGTTATATCTTCTTACATTTTTAGATTGTTTTTTTATGAAATGTGTATCTTTGATTATGTGTGTTTTTGTGGTCTTCCTCAAATATTTTGTTAGGTTTTTGGATTTGATTTTAATAATCAAAAAATTGTTCAATTCACTCTTTTGGTGACCTTCTTTGATAAAATATGAAATCAATATTTTTGAGGAAAGCTTTTAAAAATTTTGTCTTAGGATTTTTGTATTTATAGTTTTAATATTTAAATTTTGTTATATTATGTATTTTTTATTATGTTACGCATTTCACTGAATTTTATTAGATTATTTTATCTAGATTTGAAAATAATTTTATTAATATATCGCGGGCAGACGTATTACATATATATGTGTGAACATGTGTAACGTATTTTGTAGCAATTATGTATCCAACTAATAAGATGCTTGTCAAGATTGAGAAACATAAGATATGCAAGCAAACCAAGAACAAACCTATGAACATGTGCCATGTATTTTGTTACAATTCTCTAACTAATTAATAAGATGTTTTTTCGTAAAGGTTGAGAAACAGAAGCTATGCAAGCAAACCAAGAAGATGAACAAACCTAACATAACTCACTAACTCAACCGTGCTGTTTTTCACATTTTGCAGGTTCTATCTAATCATTGTGTCTTTCTTACATTCCATTTCAGTGATTTCACCGTCTTCTCAATTTCCCTATTGTTTCCATGTCTCTTACTAAAAATGTTCCTTATGGTCTAATAATCTGGTCCACTTTAGCCATTACCGACACCAAGCTGCACCTAAAGGTTTTTGTTTACACATCAGATTCTGGATTCATAAATATCACAAAGGAAACAGAGATGCATGTATATGAGAGTGCTGTATATACACACCTGTTCTGGAGGGCAGAGAAAACATGATCAGTATGAACGCCGTAAGTTTGAGGGTAAGTTAATGGTTCACACCAGTCATGGTAGATTCCAACAAACCACGTCTATATAACTACATTCATCACCCAGAGTTTCAGATCCTTAAATGTTGTAGCAAAACTTGAAAGCCAGAAAGAGAGAGATATAATTTAACAACGGATACATTGAGCCAATTTTGTACTCGTGAAAGGTTTTTTCAGTACTTACCTTCAATAGACAACTCTCATTTCCATCACGTTTCTCACATATGACCAATTAATTCCCATACCATTGGGGTATGAATTTGAAACAATAGTCTTCCATCGTGTTCACGGTCTGCTGTGAAATCCACTTGTGCAGGTTTTCCATATACACCTTCCTTAGAATCCAACCACTGAGGAACTGTCTCCACTCTCTCTGGCCACTTTTTAGGCTAAACTGCTCTGCGTTTTGATGAATCTCTGTCACTTTGTGCATACATGCATCAAGTTGAAGATTCCTACATCAAGCGGATGACCATTTATCCTACAAAAATGTTTCACAATTTATGTTTCGTTTAAAGTAATACAGCTTCTTTGACATATAGTAGCTTGAGATTAACCAGTTACACACATGTAGTAGTATAAGAAAAACGATTGTTTTGTACCTAAAAAATATCGGAGCAAATACTGCCACAGATATTCGTATTGGGTTAGAAGCAGAAATTCTCAAACATAACTTTGGAGGTTTTGAAAAGAGAATGGTTGGAGAAAGCCGGTGAATATTTTGCCTTCCCTAACTCTGTAATCAGTTCCTTCAAACTTCGTTTTTTTGCTTCATGTATTTGTTCCTTTCCAAGAGAATATCCTCTCTTCCTCTAAGGAAGCTAATATCTTCGATCACATAATCCATCCAGCGACCATCAAATCAAAATTCCACACACATATACATGTTTAGCTCTAAATCAATAGGTCCAGCTTTGTTTCTTTACACTGAAAAGAAAAGGTAAGCTAAGATAGATTACCAGTACAGCCATTAGTTCGCATTACTCATGCATATAAAGGGCCAACAATGGATTACGAAAAATCATAAATTTTCCTAATGAAGGAGGACGTTATGGAAATCACTGAGAGTGAAAGAAAAGAAAAAAGCAAAGCGGTGGTCGGAATTTTTGTACACTACGGGTTGTTGAAAATGAAGAAAGCAGTTCACTTACATAACATCCATCAGAAGCATGTCAACCCACATGAGTTCACCGCCGCGCTTCACCTTCCTCGCCTCCCAAAAACAGAGCAGACGGGCCTCAACAGTGGAGGAACACCGGCTGGACTTCAAATCGGAGAAGAAGACTTTTGAGTTAGTCATTTCAAAGAATAGTAAGGTAAGAAAGCTATGAGAATGATTATCAGGGAAGGAAAGCAAACCTATTTATACACAGGTTGAGAAGATGAGATCGTGGGTGAGGAGTAACTGAGATGATCAATGCGATTGACTATTTTGCTGGTGCTCAATCCTTTCGACGTTAGGAACGGAAACCGACGCCATGGTATTCTTAAGCTTCATCCCGGATGGCGACGAAGATAGAGATCGAAGAACTCTAATTTTGCACACACCGTATGGTAGACGGAGAGCAGGCTTACCTGAGTTAACTTAAGTGGGCCATTAACAAATAAAAGCCCATAGCAAACGGAGATGTTAAACGCAACGTTCCAAATTAGCCAGGTGTCATGACAACAAACGCCTAATTACTGACATGGCACCCTAAATAGATAGAAAACTCTACTTTATAGTAATAGATATATAGATTCCATATTTAAGGTTATCTAAATATCAATTGAATTGATATACATGTGCTGATCATAAAATATATAAGTCTTAGAAATATAAAATTTGTGAAAAAGATTTGCAATTCTATGTATCTTAGTTAAATAAACCAGTATTTGACAAGATACAATGATATTTAGAAATATTTTCAAGATATATTGTTTGGTTAATAAATTATGAATTTTCTTTTATACATTGAATCAAGGGAGAATTTGCCAAATGAATAAAATCTCATGTGTAATTAAGTAAATAGCATTGATTTTGACATAATTCAGTGAATATTATTTAATACCCAATTGATCCGGTTATACCCTTTGTTTCTATAAGTTACCGGTGACAAATCTCATGTGGTCCACAATTTATGTGATTTTTGCATAACTTATGAAAGAAAAAAGAACCACGCCACTTCAATTTTCACCACATAAATAAATACATATAAAAGAAGATGAATGCATGAAGAAGTTAATGGTTACCAGATCGTGTGTATACTATTTTATCTCGGTTATGCATGTACTATTTTATTTCATCCAAACTTCTACTGCAAACTATACATATAAAATCAACCACAACCGCTAAATAATATACCTAATTCCCTATTTAGTAAATCTGAACCTTAGTCAGTAGACTATTAACCCAAATACAATCTATAAATTGTTTTCCGACATTAAACATAGATATAAATCCTAAATCTAAAAAGAATAAAACAAAATAAATAACATAGTACCAAAACCATCTACATCACTTACATAATTACAGCATACGTATTCACCATGCACAATAAATGTGTGGAATTAATTAGAACACTTTGGCAATAAATAGTGTATTCCATTACTTCTCACAGTCAAACCCTATCCCAGCCCCACCCACCCCAATCCCCTAAAACTTAACCTTAATCCAAATAAAAATTATAACCCAAATAAAAAATGTATTTCACATCACCGAAATAGTTTAGGACTCTAACCCAACACACAACTCCTAAGTGCTAAATCCAGATCCAACTTTTGAATATTAAACCCTAAATTGCTATTACTAAACCCAAACATTAACCCTCATCTTCCAAATACTAAACGCTAAATCTTAATCACTAAATCCTAAATCCAAGTATACACCTTTAACCCAAATATAATGGAACAAAACACATAGTATAGTACATATTGGTGAACAAATAGAACACTCTTTATTAATCGTCAAATGAAATGATACATATTCACTAAACCCAAATCTCATCTCTACCCATCCAAATACTAAACCCTAAATCTTAATCACTAATCTCTAAACCCAAATATAAACCATAAACTCAAATATAAACCATAAAACCTAAAATCTAAACCCAAATCTCAAAATGTAATACTGACTCAAACTCACCCTTATTACTCTAAATACTAAACCCTAATCACTAATTACTAAACTCTAGACCCAAATATAAACTCTAAATCCAAATATCAAAATCTAAAATAATACATAGTATTATGGAATATTAATCTGTATATGTAAATATTATTTATAGTATAGAAATGTTGTATAGTATACTAATATAGGGTTTATTTGCTATTCATCCCAAATTGGTTTTAATCATTACACATAAACCAATATAGTATGAATTTCATATTACAATCAATTACACAAAATGATAGAAAAGAGAACTATCAAATTTGAAAATATGACAGATTATTACATTTTTAAGTAATAGTATAGAAATATACCCAAATAGTATGGTAACTTTACATAAATAACTACATTAAAGAATATATTCTATACTATTCCTTTCCCGAATATAGTATAGATGACGAGTTCATCTTCTTCAATTCTTATTTCTTCAAACATGTTGATACACCTTCACTTTGTTCACTGTCGTTATACTTGACCACCATATAGATCATCTTTATCTCTTCTTCTTTTTTCCGACACGGCGACGCTTTTACCTGTCCGCCGTCGTTATTCTTCATTATTGGATCACTAAAAAAAAAACGAAAACAGAGTATGAAAACAAAAGCATAATTTAAGAGAAGGAGGAAAAGAAATGAAAGAGTAGTTATATCTGCTCACCGTCTACGCTTTCATCGTTGCTCTTCTCATGAGAAGAAATTCAGTTCAAGAAAATGTGTGCATAATGAAAGACCACTTTCATCTTCATCTTCCTGAAAGCCATCTAAGTATTTTGAGAGGTGAGAATAAATACAACGTGGCCACATATTTTAATTTATATATTAATTAATTATTTATTTAATTGTTTTTGCTAGTTGGTTTCACCGGTTGAATGTGGGGGCAATATAGAAATATTATATATAAGAAGCTGGTTGTATAGGTGATGTAGGGTTTTTTGTTAGACATTGAATTATAATTTGTTTGAAGGTTATACAATGCAATTTTCCTTGAATCAAACTCCGCGAGAGAAAATGATTTGGAGATATAGAAAAACTATATATGAGAATTTTGCAACATATCAATACTATGTATCTAAGTTCAATACTATGTAACTAAGTTAAATGAAGTAGTAGATAAGTAATACCATTATTAAAAGTGTTTTTTTTTGTTTAATGAGCGTGAGTTTTGTATTAATCACTTGATCAAAACTATGCAAAGACAACTTAGATTAAGGTTTGTAGGTATCACTAAATCTTACAACTATTTGAAAGTTATATAATACTTAGAGTTTTAATTTCCAAATTATATAGAGATAAAAATGATTTTCTTAATACTTTCTGATTATTATTCAAAAGCTTAAACATAATTTATATTTCTTTGTACATTACAAAAATAACTATCCAATACTACATATATGAATAACTATGGATGTGTCATAAACCATATATTCATAAGAGATATACATAGTTATCTTCTGCCAACCCGCTGTGCAAAATATTATTGCGTATCTACTGAATTTAAACATTTGAAATATTTTTATCCATCAGATCTAACATGGTGAATTCTACGAGTTTTCATAATAAAGACTAACTTTGAATTATCAATGAAATTTACAAAATATTTATTTATTTTGGTTTATGTTTTTCTTTTTTTTTGGAATAGCTGGTAAAGAGGCTTTTAAGACAGTAAAAGAACTTCATTTTTCCTTTATTGGAAACCACATTATAAAGAATTTATATTTCAGAGATCTTAAAGCCCAAAATTCTTCATGAAAATATTTAAAAGCCTTCATTGGTGATTATCAAAATGAAAAATTGAATGAAAAAAAAGAGAATAAATTGTGAAAAAGGGAATAATTAAAGAAATTTTAAAAAATGAATATGATTTTTTTTTTTTTTGCAATGGGTCCAAGTACTCTTCATGGCATTATCACTTGGTTCACAATGAAAGATAGGCTTGCTACGGGTACAAAAACTCCCATAGGGATTATTCAGTCACATGTACGTTGTGTGGTGAGCCTGACAAGTCACGCGACGACTTTTTTTTGCGTGTCCTTTTTCCTCTATTGTTGGACCATGCTATGCACTAACCTTCTTGGCAACAGAATAACGCCAGACTGGGAAGGAACTGTGCGATCTCTCACCAGGAACAGACTTTATAAACCGGTCACCATTCTCACTCTAATAGCATCTCACATGAGTGTTTACTGGATTTGGAAGGGGAACGCAATGGTCCAAGACATCAACAGCCCGTTCACTCCAATGATGATCACAAATCATATTGACTCAAGAGGTCTAGAGCATGATCAAATCTCTCTATCCTAAAGGTGACGACTACTCAGAGCTACTCTAGTTGTGGACTTCTGCTAGCCAAATTCAAAGTATGTGACGAGGTCTCTTTGCCCGTTCACTCCAATGATGATCACAAATCATATTGACTCAAGAGGTTTAGAGCATGATCAAATCTTTCTCTCCTAAAGGTGACGACTACTCAGAGCTACTCTAGTTGTGGACTTCTGCTAGCCAAATTCAAAGTATGTGACGAGGTCTCTTTGCTGTATATCATTCTGATTTGTAAACTCGTAAGAGTCTTATTCTATTTTTCTCAGCTCTTTCTTTACATATGACCCTCACTAGTCAATGTATATAATCAAACTTTTCTCTGATGTTGATTCTAAGTAAGAGATCACATTTCAAAAAAAGAAATGTATATAAATTTTTTTGGTATATAAAATTTTGTAGTGGTTGGTACTAGAATATTAATTATTTTTAAATAATATAATTTAATAAATAAAACCAAAATAATTTGCAATATTTTTATTAAAATTGAAAATATTTAAATTATAAGTTACAATATTTAATATTATTATTTTTCATTGTTCCTCTACTAATTTTATCAAGAACATTTTTTTTAATAAGAATTAATTTGGAGGAAGGAATAGAAGACATGTCTTAATACTAAATCCTTTTAATTGTGTAAAATTTTGAGAAAAATTATGTTTCCTTTTATTTATTTTTCCGTAAAATGTATCACCATTTGTAGAAAAAAAAGAATTTGTTCTTTTTTGATATTTCTTTCTTTCTAAGAGCATCATTATAGGTAGGACTAATTTTGGGTCCTTAGATTATTTTTATTATTATTGTATGTTAAGGACAAAGTTAAGGACAATCTTAAAATTGTAAATTATTGATAGGACTTTTTATTGTCTCTTAGTAGCCAACATAAGCCTTTCTTAACTTAGCCAAGCATACATACTACAATGAACGCATTGGATATACACATGAACGTTAAAGAACCACATGAACACATTAAAGAAGATGTCATCCAAATCTGCAGATTCTTCACCACCTACTACAATGATTTTATTGTTCCAGGTTGAGCAAGTGTGGCTATCTCGTGTAGAGGGACGCTTCCCAGTTTTACAACTCGTTGCCACGTGATAGTTTGTAAACAAGATTCAAACCAATTCAATTACATGCCTTCAAAAAGACAAGAACCATATGAAAGCTGTATACCTGTGTTGAGTACGTAAAGATCATTATAGAATACTTCATCATCCGAACCAGAGACTTTCCCACAGCTGCCAAAAGCTTGTGTTTGCCAACAAGCGTTGCACTATGAGCTTCTCTTGCCTCAGGTCCTTCTCCTCTAGCTTCCAGGCGTTTCCAAGTACGTGTAGCTAACAACTAACAGTAACACGACACAGACCAGTAACACGACACAGACCGAAAAAATAAAGAAGCAATTAATTCAAGCATCTTCTTGATCTAATCAGGCAACACAAGAAGATGTGGAAGTAGAGCTTACAAGTATCTAGCACATGCAGATCATTGAGATGATGTTTCCCATCAGTACCACCAAACACAAAAAGGTTATCCCCAACTGTTGTACAGCTATGCTATCCCTCGGAGAAGGCGATACGCCTCTGATCATGGCTTAGTCCACATCTGCCACCTGCAACAAAAATTTGCCACAAAATGAGACTGTTCCAACTTCCAACAAACAAAGATTCTGAAAACAAGACTATAAAGCAAGCAAGTAACCACAAAACATCTAACAGAATTAAGAAACAGTGAATGGTGTCTAACAGCACGAACCAAAGATTGAGACTTTTGCAAGACCCACTAAAGATTTAAACAAAGATTGACACTTTTTGTAAAACCCATTAATGAGAAGCCGAAAGAAACACTCACCAGCGTCAAAGACATGAACTTGATTGGTCAAGCAACCGTCTCTACCAAACCCACCGAATACGTAGACAAATCAGCCTCCTTTAATGGCAAATCAAGGGTTTACGGAGAGGAATCAGATGATCGAATACTTTTGTTTGATTTGCCAAGGACAATGGAGTTTGGGCACTGGACATTAAAAAGAGAAAAACAATTCAATTCAGGAACAAAGTTGCCCTAATTTCTCAGATCAAATTGATGAGAACGAAGATTGGAGAGTGGGAGCCGGAGAAGGACAAAACGGGGACGTTCCTTAGTTAAGGACGAATCGGGAACGTCCTTATGTTTAGTCAAGCATTAAACATAAGGACGTTGGCTTAGGACGAGCGATAATCGTGCTCTAAAGGCAATAAAATGTTTTTTCCCTTTTCACAGCCTTTGTACTATAGTCAAATTTCAAACTAAAATTTAGAAAGATATGGAACATATCCTCCTTACACTGAGTTTCTGTTTATTATTTTTTTTTTTGTAAATTGGCTTTCATTAAAAGAGAAAAGGCCCAATGCTTTGTAAACATAGTTATAGAGCTCGGCCCATGAATTTCAGTGCAGAACTTTTCTGAAGTTAGTGAGGCTCAAACGGCTCAGGGAGTTGAAGCGGTTTGAAAGGGATTCCTCAACGAAGACCATTTGCTTTGATGAGAGAGATAGATTGATGGGCAAGTCGACAGGACTATCAGAGCATGATCAGATCGCAGAGGAAGAGAGTTTATGTCCTGTTGATGCGCAAGTCTACAGGACTTAAACTTCTAACTGAATTTAAGGCAGAAGTTCCCGCTCAGATTTTCTTTACCCGGCGAGTAGGTTTACGTAAATCCGAAGGGTAAAAAGCTAATAACATTCTTATTTAAATTCCAAAACATTAATTTCTACTCCTTAATTTCACATCAAATTTGTTTTACTTGGTTTCAGTGTGAAATATTCTGGTTATTGATCTCATTCTACGCAACTTGGTTTGATGGTGTTCCATAAAACGCCCAAGAGAAACTTGATCTTCTGGGTTCGTATGTTTAATCCATAGTCGAGAGTTTAATCCGAGTATATTAGATTATTACTACATAAACTCAAATTTCATTAGATAAGAATATGATGGAATAGAGAGATTACTACATAGTTGGAAACCGAAAAGAAATAAATAAAAGCCAATACAATATAAGCAATGACATTGAATTCTCTTTTGCATATTGATCCCTTAACGTCTTCTTCTGTGGATGTCAAGGCATGTAGTTATTTTTTTAAAGAGGAATATCAATGTCTTCAGTTAGTCTTACGGTACCTAGGTTGTGGGTAGCGTCCTGATTCAATGTCATTCACATCTCTAATGAGCAATTCATAGTGTCTTTTCACCTCGTCAGCTGATTTTCCACCAACTGCTCTTGCGACGTTTTGCCATCGGTCAGGAGTGTCCTTGTCGTATGTAGCCAAAGCCACTTCGAACTGCTTGTCCTGTTTAGCTGTCCATGATGAGTTAGAGCTTCGGGAAGTGTTGATAGAGTTGGAAGCCATTTGTGTGAAAATGTGGAAGTGTATGATAAAAAGAGCAGTTTTGAGAAGTTGGGTTTGTATTAACGATGAAAATCAGGGTTGATTTGGGTTAAGATGAAGGGAGTGTGGAGCTCCTTATATGCAGGAGGGAAAAAGAATATAAGCCAGTTGGAGGAATATAACTTTTGAAAGGAGAGATTTTTAGTGTGACCCAATATTCTTTCTAGCAACCACATGTATTTTAGTGACGGGGAATTTTTTTGGAAAGAAGCTGCTTTGATGATGATGATCATTATAGTATAATCCCTTAGAAGGTCTGGCTAATAGTTAGTAGAACTGAGATATTCTTTGACGACTGCTGTAGAAAATTAGGATGCTTCCTTTTCGTGATAGTGTCCGTACAGTATACCAAAAAATAATATTGGACCCTCCCTTACCTCTTTCAGCATTTAGGATCTTATCATCATTATGAGCACTAGGGTCGAATTAAACCCCTATCGTATCAGATACTACTCAAAAGCATGTGATGGTTAAGCTTGTGTTTACTATTCATCTTGTGTGGTGCGATATAATTATGTATTAGAGTTCCTCTTTTTTGCAGCTCTTGGATTGGCAGTTAAATGATATATCTTCGCGATGATTAACTCTGTCGACGTGATAAAAAGCGAATATTTGCCATTATTGGTCTCAAGCTTTTTGAGCAACTTCAGGAAATCTTCCGTTTACTGGTGTATATTGAGCATCTCTATAGAAAAAGAGGAACATCTTCTCGTGAGTACTAAACCCTATTTATATCGATGCTTTAGCTAGTCGGTGTAGGTGTACGTCAGAACATGATTCCAATAATTAGACAATAAGACAAATCTCAGACGACACACAGTACTAAGATCTTGTACTCTGGCATAATAAGAGATTTTAACCCTCTCAAATCGTGGGTGCCACGGAATAAAATTCTTTGAAAATGATAGGTCCATTTATAAGAAGAACATTGAAGATGATTCGTCATTAAGTAAACCCAAGTTAATTATTTCTTGGTGCAGCCACTTCTAAACTAGTTCTTCTCACTTTAGCTCTCTGATCTCTTGATTGCATAAACTTAATCGAAATGAGAAATAGGAAAGGCAACACATTTTTACGAATATTCAGGTGTTCCTGTCTTCTTTTTCCTCCTTTGAACATGGTTAAAGAATCGGACAAACACCAAATCTTGGGATCTTATCTTCGAGAGATCTTCTGCGCCTTTCTTACGCTTGTTGTGCTCCTTTGTTTTAAACATTGTCCAGTCCTCAGATTCTTCAACTACTGAGAAGTTATTTTCTAGATTATGGAAACAAATTTTGGTTTTAAACAGAGTCTCGTTATTTTATATTCGAATACGTTAGTGTATACAACTTAAATAAATTTACGTTGTGTCTGGCAAATACGATTTACATATAATTGAATTCAGATTTATGTATTTTTGATGTAAGGATCAGGATCTGCTATATTTATATATCCTAATAACATGTAACATGTACATATTATTTGGTTTTAAGTAAGTATATTAATAATTTGAATGTTTGGTTACTAATTTCAAATTAACAAAATCATAATGAATTAAAAAAAGATACTTTTACGAAAACGTATTAAAAATTTTATGTGTCATTTGTCCGGTTTTTGGTTAATAACTTTAACTAGGATAAGACCTGCGCGGTGAATATATGTAATTAAAACATAAAATTTTAGTATCGACAAATTTAAAATTTACATATGATTGTTTTTGTATGTATTTGAAATTTTAGAATTTTGGAATTTTTATATAATTATCTATACGTAGGATCAGAAACAATTGTAATTAGATTTGTAGAGAATTTAATGGACCCGATTTCATATATCTTTTCACTTTTTAGTATTCGAGTGATGAAAAATAAATGGAGTGTCACCCGACTTGATTGGTAGAGTATTAGCAAGTTTCCTAATGTTTTTAAGAAGCAGTTGGTAAATATTTGCATTTAAAATATAAAAAGTTTCAAAACTAATTTAATATAATTTATTTATTTGTCTAATAATATTAGAAAATTATATTTTTTACAAATTATTATTTTTTTAAAAATAATTGTACAAAAATTATGTTAAAATTTAAATTATTTTTAAAAATAGTATTTTAAAATTTTCAAATACAAATAAACAATTTAAAATTAATTACGGTCATGATTTAACATAACCGTAATGATTTAAAAATTAAAAATTAACAAATTAAAAATTAACTCAGTTTTATATCATGATTTAACAATTTAAAAATTAATTATGGTTATGAGAAGTTTACGTTCATGTGTCAATCCTATTTATCTTCAATTTTTTGCTTGTTGTGTTTTTTATATTTTTGTTATTACTCGATATAAATATTTATTTTGCAATTTATTCTCATTTCGTTTGTTTGTTTTGACTTAGAATTTAGAAAATACTTAAGATTTAAAATAATTAAAGAGATACATACTTAGGTTAAGATCTGCACTTTATGCACAATAAGTATTTTATATGTATTATTTATTGTATTTTTCTGCATATTATAAAATAATAAAATAATAAATATATATATTAAATAACTAAGAAATTAGTTACTATTATGTAATAAATTGGCGTATGCATATAAATTTAACTATCATTCTTGTCTATTCACAATTAGGGTAAATAAATCAAAATAATCAATCTTATATATTGTACTCCACGTTTCAAATTATATGTCATTCTAGAGTAAAATTTCCGTTTCAAAATAAGTGTCGTTTTATAATTTCAATGCAAAATTTATTGATTTTAAATGTTATTCTATTTTTTTCATTGGTTGAAAAGTGGTTAGATGTATACGTAGTTGTGAAGTTTTGCATTGAAATTATATGTCATTCTATGCTTTTGCTTTTGCACACAGATTAAGAAAACAAATAATCACAGAGTAAGAAAACAAATAATCAATTTATTTGTCATTCTATGCTTTTGCAAACAGATTAAGAAAACAATTAATTTTTCATATTTTCAAAATGTTATTCTATTTTTTCAGTTTGAAAATATGTAAAATTATTTTTTTTCTTAATCTGTGTGCAAAAGCATAGAACGACAAATAAATTGAAACGGAGGGAGTATATGATAGATAATTAAATTTAAATGATATAAACATAGTAATATATCACACTTTTAATATGGATATTTATTAAATGAGGTTTCTACTCATATGATTTTATGATTATTTGCATATTTGTGTAACAAAACATTACACTAACAATTTTTTTTTAATGTGAGATGTTTAGTAGTTTCATTAATTTATAATCATTTTAAAAAAACAAAGACATTTCAAAATTAAAATATTAACTTTTCAATATATGTTCAAGGAAAATATCAAAATATATTATACGATGTATAGTTTAATTAAAATGATATGAAATATATATAAACTAAAATTATTTCTTCATATGTTCTTATAATTATTATATTTTAATATAGAAAAGAAATTAAAACCTTGATCCTAAAAGTTTATGTGAGATTTTTAACATTTTTAGTAATTTATATTCATTTTGAAAAATTCAAAATACAACATACACAAAAAAATCTAGATTTTTATTATATGATTAATGTAATTGTGTAATTTATTTTAGTAATAAAAAAATAAACAAAATGAGAAAAAGTATACAGATTGTTATCAAATCTTTATTGTTTAAAATCATTAATTGTCATATATATATTTTAATCATATTAGGTAATTCCGTATGTTTTATTTAAGGAAAACATGTGAAACAATAAATATTTGATATATGCGACCAATTATAGCCTACGAAATATTATATTGCTAGAGAGTATAATTTTTAAACTATACATTATATCACATGCTCTAGAATCATTGAGATTTGAAATAGAAGTCAATGAGTTATGCCACATAGGATTGAGGTTATTTTTAATTCTTACAAACTTAAGGTTACAACTTTTTAAATGATTTTCAATTAATATATAGGGGATATGATCAAAACTGTTAGTATAAGTTTGTGCAGGTTCTTTGTTAGCAATAAATAAACGTGAAATAAAAATTCAAAACAGTAAATATGATCAAATAAAGTATAGCTAAAACATTAATTTGTAATTTTGTGTTCTTTTTGTGTTATTGATTTAACCTTACTTTGTGGAAAAAGCAGCAGCATAGTAAAAAAATGTAAGCTACATGTGTTCGTTTCTCTGATGCATATGATGGTGTTCTGTGCAAATTGGAGGAGTGTAAGGAATAGATGGTGGCGACGACGAAGTGAAACACAGGAAAGAACTGTTTTCTTTATTTATAAAAATTAGATTTTTTTTTTGATAAAAATTGGATTCTTTTGTTTGGTTCAGCGGGTTTAAAATTAGTTGGTTCATATCAAACCGATTTAAACCATGATATAGGGTTATTAAGTCTTGAACTATTGATTCAGAGAGAAACACGTTAAAAAGATTTAATCCGGGGAGAAATTAGTTTATAACTTTTAATTCATGGAAATTTAGTACGAGGACATAGTTACGTGTGGATCTGATGCTATATGATAGTTATCGTAAGGAAATAGATCGTTCACCCAATAAATTTTTATTGATATTTAAAGTCGGACCACAATCATTTAGATTAAAAACTCTAGTTCTAGCCGCTCAATTTTATAGTTGAAATCTTTGACAGTCTATCCATTGTTTTAGGGTTTTGAGTCTTCCATATATAGGTTGTTCGTAGTTAGAAATTATGGAATACTCTGTATTAATAGAAATTTTTCATTTTACCCGGAAACAGAAACTGACTTGAATCTGGAGCTGACATTTATTTAGGAAGGAATGAAAGGCCAGCATTATGCTCGAAAGCAGGAGTAATAACTTCATGAATTAATTATCTCTAATAGGTTGCCTCTTATCTTTCGATTTCATGAGTAAAATCCGCAGATAACTTGTGTGCTTCAGTTGACCAAAGTCATTCCTTCTAAGCAAGTTTGTCATGAGCATAACGTCGCTTCTTTAGGGCATTTTCCAGGTTACTTTGGCTTGGACCACGTTTTAACCCGAATGTAGATATCTAGTCGCAAATAGTCGAAGGATTCTTGTCGTTCCTTAGATGATTTAGGCTCGGGA